TTAATAATAACTGAGGAATCATATTATGGGCTTTTGATTTTTTTTGTGGAAGAAGAAAGGTTATTTTAAAAATCAGCTGTTGGTAATAACCAGATTAGTATCAGTAGCCAGCAAACAAGGCAAAGCATGTGCACAAAATACTCATGGTTATTTGATAATAAATCATTTTAATGATTACACTCAAAATTATGAAATGAGGATGGCACTGATGTGGAAAATAACAGAGATGCAGACTCTCCAGATCTGGTATCCATATGCACATGGCTTCTAAAGGTTCCACTATCATCACTTTAATGAAAATATCCCCTCTGTATTGCCCAGTCCAGCAAATAAAGCCAGTTGATCTGGTCAAGTTTATATAGATGTATTACTCAAATTTACTATAAATAGGGATTACTGTAAATATTCTGTTTTTGAAAACGATTGACCATTTCCTCCTTGAAACTCATCTTTTCTTGGTTTCCAACCTAAATGGTCCACAAAAAGGAAAGATCAATTAATTTATGGCATGCTCATGTAGCAAAATACCATGTAGCCATTGTATATACAAATGGGACAAAGAAACTTAACATTGAGGAAAAGGTACTAGATTTGTCTAAACTGAGGTGGAAAAGCCATTACTAGAAATTAATCCATCAAGGATTTAAGGAGAGGAATTTGCAGTCCGAGTTTAAGACTTTTAAGAGAGTAACATTTCTGGTTCACAAGGCCTGGAAACATGGCTATAGGATGTAGAAGTCACTGAGACTGAGAAAGGTAGGCAATTGTGAGATTAGGTAACTGAGTGTGTTCTCTACATGAACTTGAAGAGTCTCAAGATAATGGCAGGAGTTGTGGTGAAGAGTAAGACCTTTAGCTTGGTGTCAGAATGTTTAGGACATATTATTGGAGCAGGGCGGGGGGGAGGCAAAGAGGCGGAGGAGGAATGTTGGAGCATGTAACTTAGAGACCCAAAGAGGTAAGACAACGCCAGGAAGGAGGAGAGAGTGAACAGTGAGTTCTTTTGCTCTTTGGGGTTTTTTTGGGGGGGAGGTGGTTTTTAAGGGAGTATTTCCTACTGGTTTGAAATGGTTTTATCCACTGGAGCTGAGAGAACGCCAGCTTTTTCTTCCAGTTGCTGGTACTTGTGATGGGGGAGAAAAGGTGATTTCTCCTATAAGTGCTTCAAAGGAAAACAGGAGAGAGAGGATTTGGACAGCTAGAAAAGAATTAGAAGACGTTTCAGGCAAAGGGAGTAGTGTGACCATGGAAGTGAAGAAGATAGTAATTTGATCAGATTCAGGTTTATAGGAGAGGGTGGTGAGAGATAATTGGAAAACAAAATTGGGACCTGATTGTGGTGAACTTTGAATATCACTTGACCTCTAAGAGAGTGGGTCTCATTTATTTCCCCCCCAACCTCCACTGTAGTTCACCAGATAGAAAAAAACCTCACGTATGAGTCGTGCTCCCATCAATAATCATGGTCCAATCCCACTGAATAGCAGCCCTGTCTGAGAGGTCCACATGAATATTAACCACTCAGAAAATTGTTTTTAAAAGGAATGCATCTTCCAGAAAAAATTTCAGAAGGCTTCTAAAAATTGAGCTGGGGACATGACAAAGGCCATACAGCAAGCAGAGTGGTTCACTTAGTGTTCCAGTGCTGTTTTTCATCCCAGGAAGTCTTCCTACTCTGTCTGTTGTAAATATGACATATCAGTTCTGTTTATCCTTGTCTCCCTCTTTTCTTTCTCCCGCTCCCTCTCTCTTTTCTTTCCTTCATTTATTCAACAGGCATTTGGGGAACATCTATAATTGAGCATCATGTTTTCATGACATTGAAACTGTCATCTTTCATGCTTGTTTTTCACCCCAGATCTTTTGTCTTTCCCTTTGAAGGAGACGTGGTACCTTAATGATAAAATAGGAAATTAGCATACAGTAAGGAAATTTTAAGAAATTTCTCTGCTGATAAATTATAGTGTCTGCTGTCATTCTTGGATATGTTATTAATATTTGGTACACTTTGCTTATCTGATTCCATGGAATGGAAAAAAAAACTTTTTGGACAGAATCCTAGAAAATATTAAGAATGAGGGTTTTTATGAGCTATAATTTAACTACTCATGTAACAAAAAAAAAGTATTAAGATAACAAGTAATTATCACTGCTCAGAATGGAAATACAGAGATTAGATGAAATTTTACATAATTTTAAAGTGTCCATATGTGTCTTGTAGGTAGCTTATAGAGATGTGTGATTCATATTCACAAATGAGTTTCTAGTGTTGTTTAAAATTGTGATAAAGTGTAGCATAAAGCTTATCATTTTGACAAGTTTTAACAGTGCTATTCAGTGACATTCAGTACATCCATCTCCCAAACTTCTCTGTCATCTCAAAGGGAAACTGTGTACCCAGTAAAAGTAACTCCCCGTCTTCCCCCAGTGCCTGCTGACCACTGTCCTTCTTTCTGTCTCCTGAATTTGACTATTCCAGGAACCTTATGTAAGTGGAATCACACAGTGTTTTTCCCACATGTTTCAGTGGTTCTTTCAAAAGCATCTTGGGCTGGAGAATTGAGAATAAACATCATAACACCAGTCTGTGCTTCACATAAGTCTGGTAACCTGGAATCAAAGTGCTTTTCCACCATTTAACTATAGAATTTGAAATTCTTACACTTAAAAGCTATATCTCTTTCCTCTTTGTTCAGAATAAAATTTAACCTCTTATACATTTTGGAATTTTCCTTGTAGTTAAATTACACACTTTTAGCTACAAAATGTATAACAGTGATAATCCCTTTTCTGATGACCATCGAATACGTCCCACACTCCTTAAATACTTTATGTTACTTTATTCTTCACAATAACTCCATGAAGTATGTGATGTCCCATTTCATAAGGACAGAAATCAAGACTAGGAGACTTCAGGTTACTTGTTCAAGCCACGCAGCTGGTAAGAGCAATGTCAGGAATTGAACTCAGGTCTGTGGCTTGAAAACTCATGAACACTCACTGCTGCTAACTGAACAACAACAATATGAAAAAAAGATAAGAAACAATGTCTTTTCCTGAACCCAACTTTCTCAAATATATAATTTCCAAAATGTTTCTTCTGTATAAAAATATACAATGGTTATATTTGCTTCAATATGACTTGAGGAAATACAATAGTTAAATAAATATTTTAAATTCACCTCATACACCAAGAATTACGCCTTGCTTGCTATAAGGAAGAAAGAATTTAAAATGAGGTAACATCATTGTGTTCATTTGTAAATAACATATTGCAGCCAACTGTTTCTTAATTGCTCAGACTGTTGATAAATAATCCAGCCCTGCTGCTCTCCACAGACAGTTTGCTTTGGATCAGATCAGGCAATTCAAACAATACTAATTAAAGTGAAACCCTTTTATATGAATTCCTGTTTGTTGCAGGGAAGAAAACCCCTATCTCAAAGGTTAAGGCACTTATCCCTGATTTTTGCTGAAACGTAACGGCTATTACCTAGGCTCAAGTTAACATTAGTCGAATGAGTTTTGGTTAAATAAAAATGGATAAAGTTGTATTTTGCGTGGAAAAATATGTATTTCAATGTTTATTGCACTGTCATGAATCATGTTAATTTTATCTTTCTAATTGAAAGAACAGATGTGGAAGTTTTATTTTAAGCAGTATTTTCATTGAAATAAGCTATGTTGCTAAGTGATTATTTACTATCACAGAGATTTGTATTTTAATAGACAAATGTGTCTCGACTAGGAGGAAACCAAGACTTCAGGAGGTCTTCATTATATCAGGGGATTTGCTGTAACATGATATCATTGTATTTATGATTTGATGGTGTTAAAATGAATATTAAATGAAACAAAACTCCCAAGGATTACTCAGGAGGCAGCTGAGTACATAACATTTTGTACAGATGGTTGGAAGGCACAATTTTGCTCCATCACTGCATCCACATCCTTGAACGATTTCGACTGAAGACAGCATTTCTTTGAATTTTTCATTAAACCAGACGTCTTGAAATATGAATTCCTTTTATGTTTCTGTGAGTTTTGGCTAAAAGAACCCCAGTGAATAAATCATACAATACTACGTGTCACCAGCACTTGTGAATATTTCTGCTTTGTTATTCTATTCTCAGTAGAGCACCATTGATTATCAAACTCAGCGGAGAGCATTTTATGATCATATATCTCCATTAGCTCCTAGTTTGACTACCATAGATTTTTCTGGTTAAGCCTGCATTATGTATTAGGAAGCCTATCCCTTCAATGCAAAGTTTGATTTCATTTTTCTAAGCCGAGAACTCTTAATTATGTATTATGTATAAAGATTCTTATCTTTTACATGTAAAAATAGCCTGCACTGTCTCTGTGTAAAACTGAAATTTATGCCATCTTTTTTTTCCCTTGATTCACAGTTAGCATATTATACTATGAAGATGAATTTCTACAATGCAATGGCTGTCAGGGTAAATATTTCTTCACTTGTTAAACAAATGAAAAGTCAATTGTGCCCTGAATTCGCTTTTAATAAAATGAGCAAACCCGAATAACGCAAATTTGATTGATATGCTAATGGTAAAGAGAGAAAAGAGTACATCGTTAAAAAGTTAGTTATACTAAAGAGTCTTGGCAGTATTAAAAATTAGAGTAAAATGTAAAACATGTAATTATCAATGCTTATGTTTTAGAATGTTAAATATCTCTGAGCCATGACTAGAGAAAGAATGTAAATATTAATGAAGCAATGTTGGTTTCCATATGTCATATAGAATATTGTAATAAATAGATGAACATGGTTCTGGAATGTAAGATTCCTGCCCAGTACAAATCAATCAGAAGTTATTCATACGATTTAGCAGTAATGAAGTCAGTTTCCAGCTTAGACGTTTTATTTATATCATTTCTGTCCTCAACTTTCATGTGTTATTTGCCAAATAGGAAGCTGAATTTAGTGATTGTGAGGCTTCCTTGGTCTCTGCACAGATTTTGGGAAGAGCCGCAACAAAAGTATTATTTCTTTTGCGTCAGACAATACAGCTTAATTGTGAAGCTGTTATAAATGGGAAAATGCTTAAGTGAATTTCATTAATGTTCTTCAAACCTACGTTGCCTCATTATATTCTCTTCCCTTAATCTATTATTAGTTCTTACTTCTGCTAAGCATAACAGATTTTGTTTTGGGTGAAGCAAGGCAGTAAAAATACCTTCTGAAAGTCCTGTGTTGAACACGGCAGTTAAATTAACATTATTTCGATGACTTAAAATGCTGCTTTGGGAAGGGGTTTTCCTCTAGAGGTGTGAGTGTGGGAGACTATCCCAGGGACCATCTCCAGGATCTGTTCACTGCTCTGTGCTTCTGTAGTTTAAGGGGAAAAAAACCAGGGAAGAAGTAGATCTTTTTTCCTTCTTTTCCTGAGCCAGAGGCTGATATCTAGCTGCACTGGGCTATTTACCTTTTTTAGAAATATAGTCATATAAGAAAATAATTTGTTTTTTCTCTTTTAATGGGAATACTTGAGCTTGAGTCTGGGAATTTAGGAGATTTTGATTCTCTGAATAGCTCTGCCAGAGACAACCTCTGAGCCTAAAACAGTGTTAGAGCTCTTCTTTTCTGCATGCCCTTTGTCAGATGTGTCTGCAAAGTACAGAGCTGACGGAGACCCAAAGCAGCTGATGACCAAGGGCTTTGATGTCCCCACAGATCACCAGAAGGGACAGAGGGACAGGAGACAGGGTTCGAAAAATGCATTCTCCTGTTTATTATTTAGTCCCAAATTTTGTATTGAATTCTGATCTGGCTAGAATCATCAAGATTCCTTTTACCTTGACTACGCATGTCTAAGAAACCACATTAATCCAAGCCACTCAGAAGGCAGAGTTTTTGACTTATTCCAACATCATACTAAAAACTGTTTCCTTTGCCCAGCGTCACCTTGTCTTTGGTCAACATCAGCAGACAGTGTTGAACTCTACCTAATTCCTGCTATCCTAGAAAACAGCAAAGTTTGAAAAACCTCCCTTGGTCCAACTCTTTTGTGTTTCTGAAACAGCTTACTGCAACAAAAACCACCCTTCCCCACAGGACTTAGATAAGAGGCATGGGTGGCCCCTTGTTTACCTATGACAAACCCAGACACAGTCCCTGAGATTCCCATTCTTTACATCATAAATGATTACCTGAATTGCTTGTCTCCATCAATCAGTTGGAAAAACATGTTTTTAACCAAACTCTGGTTAAGTTTCTGTCTTTCCCCTAGATCTGTGAATGTAGCCAGCACATAGCATCTCCTTATTACCTCCTGAACATGGGCTGGCTTCAGGTTAAAACATTTTCTGAGCTACCATCTGATTATGCCACCCTGTCATCCCACTTCCCCTCATCAGATTCTTTCCAGCCTTGTTCATACCTTTCAATAAAAGAAAAACTCGTTTTGCCTTATTTTTGGCATGTTTGCAAATCTTACTGTCGAAGATTCTCTGTATTGCAATAGCCCACCTCCATCTATTGCAATAGTCATCCGCCCCCTCTTTCTCACAGTGATTCTTCCAAATCAAGTCTCTCCTTGCTATGTCCAGATTTGGTTTTTATTTGACACAGGAGAGAAGAGTAGAGGTGGGAATGCACTGGTCATTAAAGTGAAGGGAAGGAAGACTTGAGCATTTCCTAGAGGTTGAAATGATCCACTGAAGATACTCGGGAATTTTTGGAGGCGCAATGGAGTATGTAGTTACTACTGTAAGAAATTTATAATAGAAACACTACTCTAACAAAGATGTTCAAAGTCTTCCTTTAGAGGCTTGAGTGAGTTAATTTGGTAGCTTGGTAGCAAGGAGTCATTAAGTTGGATTGACTTGGTGTTGGGGAATCAGGAATGAAGCCTACTTGCATAGAAGCTAATGTGATTGCCTAAGAATTTTTTTTTAATTTGGGTTTTTTTCCTTATTTATGTATTTATTTATTTAGTTACTTAGTTTTGGAGGGTGAGGCAATTAGGTTTATTTATTTACTTACTTATTTATTAAGTGGAGGTGCTAGGGATTGAACCCAGGACCTCATACATGCTAAGCATGCACTCTACCACTGAGCTATACCCTCCCCCCAGCAAAGATTAATTTTTAGCATTGGTTAATTGCATAACCAGAACCGAACTTATTTGTAGGTGCACTTGGATAAACCTATTTGTAAGTGAATTTTTTGCAAGATGGTACTCTGAAAATTTTGCTTGCTGCGGGAGTGAGAGGCTAAAGAGACCAGTGTGTGGTCCACATACCTTCATGCTATACATATCTGAAGATTGCAACTCTACCTGGAGACCAGCAGCTGAGCTGTTTCTTCTAACAGATGCAACTCTGCCTTGTCAGTTCAGAAGTTACCAAGTAACTTTGTTCAAAAAAGCCGCCCTTTAAGTGATTTAAATATGGGTGGCTATGAGTGTACAAGAGGGAGAATTTCTGAGAGAAACAGATAACTACCAAAAATCTATATGGCCATCAATATTCAGACAGATACACTTTTATATATGCACCTAAACCATGCAGTCGAAGAGAAAGAAACTTTTATCTTACTTTGGCTCATAAACTGAGCCAGTCGCAAATTATATGTCTGACTGTTGACTCCTAGCATGACAAATTATATTCAGTTGTCAAAGAGGTAAATGGAGCATTTCTGAAAAGAGAAGAAATTTTGAAACTTCATTTTTAACTTATCTATCTTAAATAGATATCACCTTTTTATATAATGAAGAATAAATTATATGTGTGTTATTGTTTAGTGTAATAGGCATTCATATCCAGATTTGCTGTATTTTTTTTTAAAGGGTCACCTTTTCTCTAAAGACTTTATGATCCCCCCCACCCATGTGGGATAGATCACTGTCTTTTTTTATGTCCCTGTTCTACCATCAATATACTTCTGTATAGAACCTGTAACATTTTATTATCCTTACTAATTTACATGCCTGTATTTGGCACCCACATACACTGTAAGTCCCATGGGGCCCAGATCCTCTCTTCTTAGTCTTTGTATCTGGCTTATAGTAGGTGATTAAAGAGATGTCCCTGAATAAATCAATGAATGTTTGCTCATTCTTCTCTAAATAAGGAGTTAAAAAAAAAGTCACTTGTTTTCAATACTTTTTATCTAAGTCCCTTGGTGCCCTTGTTGGAAATTATTTAAGCCTTTGCTGGGAAAACTTTGAGTCTTTTCTGAATACTTGAAAACACTTGAGGCTAAGTGGATGATGAACCGGACACGGGAAGGTGATATTTGGTCAGTGCAGTTTACACACGAGTGGAAGACCTCATAAGCTTTGGGCCCTTGCCAAAGTGTTAGAAACACATACAGGCTTGAAGGAATTTTGCTGTGAAAAAAGCTGCTATCAGAACCCACAGGATGCCTGTACAAAACCCCTGTTACTGATTTGCAGCTAGGCCCAGCGACAGTCAATTAATACAGCAATAAATTGCTCAGTAAATTTTTATCTTAGCTCCTGGGGCCCCATTCCTCCTGTTTCTCTGTGTGACACTTCATTGCCTTTGTATCTTTAATTTGAATTTACTCCAGATTAGGATTCTGCTTTTCCTCTAGCATCTTGGCTACTCCATTGTGGATCTCACTTAAATTTGGTCCCCAACTTTTTTTTTTTCAGTTCTTACTCTTTGAACAGCTTTTAGTATCTTATGCAAATACCATGAGCTGATTCATTTGCTCAAGTTATTTCTCTCCCTGTCCCATCCAGATGGACAGTTGTGTGTCTTTTTACAGTACAGAATGGACCCTCTATCCCTCTACTTTTTTAGAGTGTTTTTTTACCTTAAATTAAAGTATAATCTGTTACACTGTGTTGGTTTCTGGTGTACAGCACAGTGTCCCAGTCATGTATATACATACGTATATTTGTTTTCATATTCCTTTTCATTAAAGGTTATTGTAAGTTACTGATTATAGCTCCCTGTGCTGTACAGAAGGAATTTGTTTTTGTCTATTTTTATATATAGTCGCTAACATTTGCAAATCTCAAACTTCCAAATTTATCTCTTCCCACCTCCATCCCCCCAATAACCATAAGATTGTTTACTATGTCTGTGAGTCTGTTTCTGTTTTGTAGGAGTTCGTTAGTGTCCTTTTTTTCTTTTTTCTTTTTAGATTCCACAGATGAGTGATATCATACAGTGTTTTTCTTTGTCTTTCTGGCTGACTTCACTTAGAATGATCTCTGTTTCTGATGCTAGAAAGCATTTCCTTAAGCACTTGGGTGTCACCTCAGGCCCTCTAATCATGGGGCTTGGAGAGTCAGTTTCCTGGCAGTAATGTAAAAATGAAAGGCAAAATTACTTTATGGGCTGAAAGCCCATTAAAAAAATATGCCCAGGTAGTAAAAAAAGTGCAGTTCAGTGTTATTATTTCATCCACTAGGTCTTTCCATCCAGTGAGGTCTCTTACTTGTTTCTTTCCCCCAATACTTTGATACATAGTTCTCAGTATTTGGTATTTTTTCTTGTTTATGGCTTTTGTTTACTGGCTGACTCCATCCAGGATGAAGCATCTTGTATAGAGTGGCACATATACCTAGTTCTTCCATTTCTAAGGCATATAGACATTCAGCTTAACCTGTATCTTTGAGGCCCCCACTTCCCCAGTAGAATGGTTCCCAATTCTCACACGTATTACCTGAACAAGAATGGATACAGCTGGTACCTACCTTAGTCAAACCAGCTGCCAGGGAGAGTGTGTGTCTGTGAGGCATATATGCAAGGACAAGATGGCAATAGCACAGGTTCCCAAAACTTGATAAGTTAGAACTGTTGGTAAATAATAAGAGTTAGCAATTGCACAGCAGTGGCCACTCTCCAGACACCATTCTAAGCATTTTAAATATTTTAACTATTCCCTGCAATTCTCATGACCAACTCACTGAGGCAGGTATCATTATGGTTCCAATTTGAAAGATGAGAAAATGGAATTGTAGAAAGGTGTCTTGCCCAAGGTCACACAACTAGTAAGTGACAGTGTTGGGAACTGAGCCCAGGAGGTCTGGTACCCATATTCCTGTTATTTCTGGTCACCTGCAGTCTTGCCTTCACTTCTAATCTTCTTCTCCTTCCCTCAGAAATCTAGATAAGTGCAACTATATGAACCCTGGGTCAAGCCCTTAGGGAAATTTTATTACTCACATGGTGGTTTCCTTGGCAAATGGACCCCATGGCCCTGGTAATTCATGAGCATTCTTACTGATACAGTCCACTCAGGGAATTCTAAATTCAGTGATAATTAGTAGAAATGGGTACGCAAACTCTAGTCTTCTCATATTGCATCAGGATTTGTCTTCCATCATAACCCCAGATGAAATACCTTTCTGGCTACAATTTTAAATGGATATTTGTATAAGATATAGCAAATGAAAAAATGGAACTTGTCATTTCTTTCCTGATTGGAGTATAAGGTACAAATCACATAGATTTTTCTGATCCAAGAATTTCAATTTGGTTGTATTTGAACCTTCACCATGCCCATTTTGGACCCTGGAACATTAATGGAAGAGAAAAGGGGACTCTAATTTCATTAAAAACTTTAGAAACCCCACAAAATTTTTACCAGCACTATGATTTTTCAACTGTTGACCCCTTTCTTTATACATTAACTCTTAGAATATACTGGTCTTTAATAAACTCAACTTAATGGGGATATATAATCTGGCACAGACTTTGGAAGTTAACAGAAGTAAACTCTCTGAAAATTATTTATTCCTTGCAATGCCTGTGGAAAGCCTCCTTTAGGTCATCTCATACATCTTGAATCGCATTTGCTTGCCTGTCCTAGGACAACTGGAATAGTATCATATGAATGCAGATTTCAAGAAGTGCTAAGATGTAGTACCTTGGAGATCTCAAAAAATAATGTTCCATCAGACTTTTTCTTCTCATTTTCAAAGGTCTTTGAGGAATGGAAAATGATAATAATCTAAAACTTACAGAGTTTTAAAGAACGACAGATGTAATTGATTGTTTCAGGTAGAAGTCCTTTTACCCTGGAAACCTTGTCTGCCTTATTGATCACATATACTTACTTTTTAAAAATTTTTAAAAATTGAAGTATAGTCAATTACAGTGTGTCAATTTCTGGTGTTCAGCACAATGTCCCAGTCTTGCATATACATACAAATACTCATTTTCACATATACTTACTTAATGATATTCTGCTGGAACAATGGGAGTCTCAGATGACCCTTTATTACTACAGTTATTTTGAATAATTTAACTTGAAATTAGTGCCCCTAAACATTTTAGTTCAGGTAAGAAATCCTCACTTTAAGGAAAATAAAAACTGTCATAACAAGAGGACCACTAGACTAAAGGATCACTTAAAATAATCAATTTGCAAAATAACCATAACTTTATTGGCTCTTTCCTCTTAGGGCTCTGAATCTATGTAATCAAAATTTTTATTTACAAAAATCAATATAACTCAAAACATCAATTAACCATTTTCTTTTGTTTCACACTTGTGTCTAAAGTATGAAAAGTGTAAGATTATATTGTAGCTTTAATTGAAAAATGGTTAAATATGTGTCAGATAAAGACCCATCTTAGTCTCCTACTTATAATCCTATTTTCATATTTACACCACAATGCAGTAGTTATGTTTAGAGCAATGACTCCAATATTAGATAGACATAAATGGGTAAAATAATTCAGGAAAAATCACTGATATTCTTTGATATACTAAATATTATATGAGGTTCTAGGAATACAACATGAATAAAACACAGTCTTATTCACACAGAAGAAGGTATCCCAAAACATCAGCCTACAGAAGAAGAGGGGACAGGACCATCTAGATAAGCCCTACCTTGTGCAGGATGATAGACATTTAGATGTCCCATCACTATGCAAAATAATATTTCTTCTCTTCCCCTACTACTTCTAGTACCAATATCTTTGTGAAATGATGAAAGAAATTGTAGAGAAGGGAAGTATAAAGTCAAGTAGAGTGGGGAAACAAAATATTGAAGAGAAAAAAGTTGCATATGGAATAATTATCCAAAACCTGACTAACCATATATATGTATGTTTTTGACATGATAGTAACTTGACATCAAGAGTGAAAACTTTGACATTGCTATTTTTAAGCACCCTATCTTTGAAAATTCAGTAAACTCACCTTTCTGTGCTCACTGTATGGTTTTCTAGAATGTTGAACATTCTAATAAGTTGAAGTCTAGTTATGAATAACAGTCCTATTTATATGCTCTCATATGCATTTAGAGCATTAGTACCAGATAGGTTATTACCTGTGAATTTGTTTTTTATGTTTTGATTTTAATTCTAGGTGAGAAGATTTTTTTTCCTCTCTTTTGATGATATTAAGATTACTGTGAATTTTGAGGAATAACAATAGACTCAACGGAGGGAAAATCTTTTCTATGAACAGATGGCTGATATATCATGGTTTTGCCATTTATTTTAGTGCTTAAAATAAACATTATTTATAAGACCACTTACAGTTTGATGTTACTTAATGAGGAATATGCATCATTGATTTGACTAGCTTAAGAGGTCATTTAGAACTTGCCCGTTAACAAGCTGTAATCTGCTGAGCACACAATGACTTTGTTTAAAATTATCTATTCAGAGCTGATCAATGACAATAATTGTTTTATACCAATCACTTCTGAAAGTTGCTAATTACTTTGAAGGGCATGAATACTAGCCATGTGTTTTGGAAGTCATAACCTGCTCACCTTGAAATTAAGAAGAATGTTGTCATCGTGCTGCTTCTTGAAAGTACTTTTTTTTAAAAAAAAGAAAGTGTCTTCACTAGTACTGGGATATCAACAGGAAATTTAGGCAAAATTTAAGATGTCATTTCTTCCTATCACAGGAAGTATAGTCAGATCTCAGCTATATTGTATCTTTTATCAATTAGCTATTGGTCAAATTGGGCTCCCTATAACGTAAGAACATGCGCACACTCTTTCTCTTCGTGGAGTATGTCTGACAGATGTTTTAGTGGGTTTTGGAGTGAGACAGAACTAGGTGTATTCAAGGTTACCATGAGAATCAAAGCAGTTAGCATAATACCTGGTACATTCATAGAGCTCATAAATTTTAGATTCTTTACTTCACCGGATAACATCATCATCCACTCAAATGCCCAGTTTCTTTCAGCCTTTTTATTCACTTACCTCTAACAAAACCCTCTGAAGTTTGGTTGATTATACTTTAACGAGGATGAGTTTTAATTTGTTATCTAACCATCACTTACCTATTATGAGCTTTAATACACAATTGCAAATACCCAGATTTGTCTTGAAAAGGAAAGTTAGCCTGCCTTTGGGTGGATGTGTAGGGAGTTGGGGTGTTAGGAGGGTCTCTGAGAGCACTATGGTTGACTCAGTGAATGTGGTTGGTGCTGTTTCTAGTAGTTGCTCAGTTAAAAGTGGTAAAAAGTCCATGCCATTGGCTTTTTTTAGTACCCTTCCTTTTGACACAGATTTTCCAGCCAGTTTCAGATTTTGCTCTTTCAGCTTCTCAAAATGGGCAATGTCCTTCCTTCTCAGTTCTCCAGCATGAATCTTTTGTGTTTTCTGACACATTTAATTAATGATGTTTTCATGTGATAGGTAGTCTGTCCCTCAACACTATTTGATATCCTACAGCGTCATGTTGAAGGTACAAGACAACATTTTGTTTAAAGATTTTGATAGTACTGAATTTAAAAAAATATATTAAAAACTTTGATTTTAGTGATACCAAGTACGATTTTCAAGCCAGTTGGTTATGAAAAATAAAAAAATCCATTTGGTCAGGAAGTGGAGGTAGTAGGAATTGGTAAAGCACATTTTTAAACTTTCAATAGTTAACTTCACATATAGTATTTGTAAAACAATTGTAAGTATTATAAAATAAAGTATACTAATTTAGAGTATGTTTTTGTCTTTATAATATTTTATAATAAATCTTTGAGTACAACTGATATTTGCACATAGATACACTGTTATTTTAGTGGAAAAGCCTGAGACTTTATTTGTTAGGAGTTATCCATCATTACCTCGATTTTGAAGAACTATTAATGGTTTTGCTAAAAATGTTCACTGGCATATTTTACTTTTTGATTTCCTTCGATAGATCCAGAGGCGATGGCGAGGCTATAAGATTCGGAAATACTGCTTTAATTATTATTATTTGAAGGAGTACCTGAAAGCTATTTCAGAGACCAATGATGCAATTCGGTGAGTGGTATAATCACTAGCCTACTAGTGAAAATTTTAGAAAATTTACTCAATAGATGTTGATCATTATCATACTTAGGAATACTTCCTAAAACTAAGTGATATTTTAAGCAAAAACTTATTGTTACGATAGAGCTATATCATTCTATTTACCAAAAAAATTTATTTTTAACTATCTTGTACTCTTGACTATAAATCAAATTATTTATGTGTGTAATAAACGTACCTTGGTACTATGCAAATAGTTCAGGTTCAGTAAAATTACCTCAATTTGAGGTGGATTTATCTGTAAAATGATTACATAGATGAATCCTTAAGTATGACAAGCCTCAGATGTATTGTGAGAAACATGTTCAGTAGCAAGAACTTGCCTCTCAAAGAAGATAATGTTAAAGAACATATTAAAATGGACTGCTTTACTGTCAGTTTTTTTTTTCTTCAAGCACATAGAAAGAGTAACACCTGGATTTAGGCCTTAACGATGAGTCTTCTGTAGATTTATGCAAAGTAAAGTTACTGCAGCACTATTCAGTCAGGTTTACCAAGGCTCTATGTACTAAGTTTTCATGTTACATCAAAACTTGCTAGTTTTTTTCTTCTTGTAATGTGCTCCATTCTAAAAACATATAAGTGACCATATGCTTATAATAGATTTAGATAAAAATGAAATAATAATGAATCATAGTTGGCATTTATGCCATAGTGTTACTTTCAGTTTTCACCTGCATTATCTCATTTTACTCTTAACATTTTTCAAACTAGAGATAACAATTGACAATAAGTTGTTAAGATAAAGGTGTTGTCTGAGACCCTAAAATTACATACATCATAAAATATCTAAACACTAACTCCCCAACTTTTATATTTCTCACATATGTCACGTGTATGAAAAGGTCTTTGGAGCTTAAATATGGGAAATTTGTGAAGTTGATTTCTTTGGAAACAGCAATAAAGATTTGGGGAGCTTAGAATAGGATTTAGTCAGTGAGCGAAGTTGGAAAACTCAGAAACATGTGGGCCATAGGGGACTGCTGTTTAATTTCTTCCTAAGAAATCCCATGTTCTAGCGATGGGCTGGCTATCTGCAAGTGGCAGGCTTGAGCTTGCCAGGTGGAAGGAGCTAGTAGAACATGCAAGAGGGAGAATTTGAGCGGGACTGGGGTTCTGGGGGAGGCAAGGGAGGCCCTTAAGACATAGAAGTTAAGGAGACACTCACTGTCAGGGTCGTGCAGGCGACTGCACTTTCCCAACCCCGAGAGTGTTCCTTTAAACTCTGCTTTTAGAGTCCTCGCGTGCTTCACCTAGTTCTGTCCCTGAACAGGAGAAGGGACTCAAAGAGACAAACACGTGCAAGGTGGTTTTGGAAAGGCCTGTTTCTTTTGTCCATCAGGTATTTCCTTTTATCCTTATTTCTTCCTGATTTTACTAGGACTATCTCTAGCCACTAGAGAGCCTGGTGTATCAGTGCTCACAATTTGGTTTAGCCTGCTGGTCTTTATCATATTGCAAACTTACTCTTTTGATTTATACTGGTCTTAGAATTTTTAAGGCAGAAGAGAAGTTGAACAAAACAAATGCTTTCCCATCATGTACTGAAATAAGATGATATTTTTCCTTTTTGACCTATTGACATGTTATAGAATGTGTTTTTATTAATAGATATATTAATATTAAACCATCATATACTAGGAATATATCTAACAAGGCCATTCGTTGTTAATTATCCTTTTGATTTATTACTAAATTATATCAATATTTTACATAGGATATTTACATTCACTTTTATAAACGGAGTTACTTATAATTCTCTCTTGCATTGCGATTTACAGATATTGTTATCAAATTTTTGCTGTATTTATGAGATGAGTTGAGTAGATTATATGGCATGGGGATTATTGTACTGAAAAGGAAAAACACTCCTGTGTTTTCTGTGTACTTAACACTCTACCCTCAATACTTCTGGTCACAAAATGGGTTTTTTTATACCAAGCAATTCTCAGACTCAATTCGGATGCCCTCTACCTGGAGAGAGCATCAGATCCACAGGTTAAGGACTCAAGTCCCACAACGCCTGTCCCCCGCAACCCTCAACTTCAGATGCCAATCGCATGTGGTAGGTCCTCAAGTTATCCACAACTTTATGTCCAACTTGGCTACAAATCAGAGATTCCCAGGATGTCGTCCTCAGCTTCAGGCATTTGCTAGAATGGCTCAAGAACTCAGGAAAACTGTGTATTTACTAAATTAAAGGTTTATTATAGAAGAATACAACTCAGGAATAACCAGGTGGAAGAGATGCCCAGGGCAGAATATGGAGTGGGAGGGGCGTGCAGCTTCCATGCCCTCACTGAGCATGGTACCCTCCCAGCACCTCCCTGTGGTCCGCAACCAGAAACTCTCTGAACTCTGTTGCTCGGGGATTTTTATGGAGGCTTCCTTATGTAGATACAATTGATTATATCATTGACCTTTGGTGATTAGCTCCACCTCCAGCCCCTCTACCCCAACAGAAGTCGAAGGGGTGGAGCTGAAAATTCTGATCTTTTAATCACATGATTGGTACCCCTGGCGACCAGCTCCTACCCTGAGGGAGTCCCCAGCTACCATTCATCTGATAGCATGCAAAAAGACATATTACTTTGGGGGAATTCCAAGGGTTTTAGACCTGTGTGCCAAAAACAGAGATGAAGACCAAATATATATTTCTTATTATGAAACACAGTATCTACAATTATATTAGTATTTTATAGGATGCTTATATCCACATTTGTAAGCATGATTCATCATAATTTTCTTTCTTGTCTTGATATCAGGTTTTTTCTATATTTATTAGTTGAATAGATTATATGGCATGAGGATTACTGTTTTTAGAAGTTTAAAAGAAATAGTTTATAAAACTAACTGGGCCCTAAACCCTTTTGGAGAAGGTAAATCTTTCACATTTCCAAACCTCTATTCAGGTTTAAAAAAATATATTAAAGTCAGTTTTATTTATTACCAGATAACTATTCATCGATGTTTCAAAATATAGTGATGTTATTTACAAATATTTTAATTAAAATAGTTCTTGCCATGTTCCATTTCTCATTTCTAATTTTGCTTCTTAAAAGTTTTGTCTCTTTGGTCTCAAAATTGTCAGACTTACCTATTTTATTGCTATTTTTTAAAGAACCACATCTCAGATTTTTGTCTTTTTTACTCACTTTTCTGTTTCCTAGTTAAATATTTTGTTTTCATACTTTAAAAACCCTTTATTTCTTTATTTCACAAATAATACATGTCCATTGTAGAAAAATTGAAAATACAGATAATTTAAAACAAAACAAACAAAAACTCATTTATGATCCCATTGCTCAGAAATAAATACTTGTAATATTTTTATGTGTGTTCTTCCAGACCTCTGCCACTTCATAGCTGTGTGACCTTGGGCAAATTCCTTAACTTCTTTTTTCTTAAATCGCTTCATCCACAAAGTGAGGAAAATAATAGAATTGCTACATAGATTTCTTATGAACATAAGTGAGTTAATACATGTAAAATGAATAAACAGTGCTTAGTAGATCCTATGCACTAAATAAATATTAGTTTATTAGTTTATTCCTATGCTTACATGTAAATACCTTATAAAAATGGTTAAATACAATATACTATGTGTGTCTCAATTAACAAAATATTGTGAATATTTTCATGGTAATAAATATACCGATATCAACATTCATTAATAGCCTTAAAAAATTAATTCCTTATTATTGAAGTTGTAGGTGTTCCCAGTTTTTGCTGTTTTAAACATTTCGTTATTTTCTTATTGTTACTTAATATGGAGTTTCTCTTAGTTCTTGCCTTACACCTGGTTTTCAGACAGCTGCTTTCTTGTGTCCTCATCTGGGGGAGAAAAAGTTCCAGCCTCTTTCTCTCTGAGTAAGAACACTCATCCCATAATGAGGTTTCACCTCATGATCTCATCTAAACCACTTACCCTCCCCCCCCCCCACCTAATACCATCGCACTGGGGCGTAGGGTTTCAATATATGAATTTGAAGGCGGGGACACAAACCTGCAGTCTGTAACAATCACTGCCCCACTGACTGCCTTTGATCATCTGGCCTTCAAGGTTTTGTGAATATTTTTCCTGCTTTGGGAATGCCCCTGTGTTCTGGATCATTGCCAGGCCATGC